GTGAACTGCTGACGATAGGCACAGTTGGATTTTAGAGTCTGTGCTCCCATTTCATTCATTAAAAAAACATTGCCCCCGACCGGAGCTCCCTGACACGACGTGGCAGAGCACGTCTCGCCTCTCCTCGGGGCTGAAACGGACTCCCTAAAAACCTGCCAGTGACTGGAGTAATGTGGGCGGCATTATGCAGAGCCACCCAGGACCACAGCTAGTCTGCCCCCCCGCCCCAAACCGACCCACCCATTCTCCACGAGCCACAGGTGACAGCCATAACACACATCGCACCTCTTTGAGTCTGGATGACTCCAGTCAAAACAGCCACAGACAGAGCACGGCCGGCCCTCCACACCTCCAGCCGCTTGGTCCCACTCAGAAGCCTTCAGAAGAGCCCGAGGGCCCACGCAGCTCGCCATGAGCCGTGGCTTCATAGCCTCACTCTCACTGGACAGTACTTTATTCCATTAATCAGCCATAACACCCACACCATGTCCAGCTTTGTTTAGCCTCTGGCTCTAACGATTGTCATGGCGGCTGATTAAAGCGGGCTATTTTTAAGTTACTGAAGCAGGAAAAGCCGGCATCCTGTCAGGTGTTTCAGTGATGTCCGTCTGGCTGCAGAAGCCATCCTTATCTGCTCCGTGGAGCAACGGGTCGGTTCCACTTGACCGGTTCTGTCCTCTTCATCTGCCCTGCTGTGTCTGTGTCTGTGTGTGTGTGGAGGGGGGTTCAGATTCAGTCAGTCATCTATAGCGCTTATCCTTTAGAGGGCTGCGGGGGGCTGGAGTCAAGCCCCTAACACAGGTTCATTCAATCGTAAATGCCTACAGATAGCAAAGCAAGCCGGGCGGCTGCCTGAGACATTGAAGCACATGCAGACGTTCTTTAGAAGGTTCGCAGTGCTGCTGCAAGTACTTGTGATGGTGTCAAGATAAACAAAGAGCATTTTTTCTAAGTCAGGCCTGTATTGATGCTTATGAGAGCTTCACAACAGAGTTGCATAACAAAGATTGCACGTAAAGACCAGAAATTCCCTTTTGCTGGAAAGAGGGAAAAGTGCTAATGACCAAACAAATAATGTGGCCAAACAACAAAGCAGGACTCCGCTAACTGAAGAATGAACAAGATCAATGTTGGTGTGAATTTTTGTAGAAAAACCAAATCACACAGATGAAACGCACTAGATCGACCCCACTTTGCAGTACGATAAGTTATCCTGGTTAACCTGGTTAACCTGGCAACTCGTGGATCCACAAATATGGATTTATCCATCAATCAGGGACAAAGGAGAGTAATTGTTTGTCCCAGAGACAGATGCAGTGTAGCAGGACGCGTGGATGTAAAGATTACCACTTCTTCAAAACAATACGTAGGAAATATAGATAATAATATAGCCCTAAAATGTAGATATTTACTGTGCTTTGCCAAAATAAAAACACCGTACATTTGTTTTTGTACTTGAGTAACAGTGGAACACTGCAGCACAAAAAATGCACCTTTTGAAGGACAACCAGCGCACAACTCCTCCTCCGCGTCGGTATCTCCGATAGATCAACACGTAGCTGCGCGTCTATCACTGCGCCGCCAGGCCTTCCTGTGCGTCAGGCCTCGTGTTTGTTTGGCCAGCATGTCCGAGCCCGTGCGAGCTGCTGTCTCCGCGCGGGTCACCGTGCGCACGCTTCCAGGAAAAAGGGAACTGCTGTGGCGACGCGCGGGGCTCGTTAGCCGCGCTGACCCGGGCCACCTCTTCACAGCGCACCAAAGAGGCGCCAACGTCACGCGGCGCGCTGCCCGCCCCGGGGCCCGGCGGAGTAGTAATTTAGCGCCGGGATGGGGTCAACCTTTCGCTTTGACCCAATGACTCACAGTAACCACATGACAGGAGGGAAACCAGGGACACGGTACGTCCAGTGACCGACACTGGCATTTAGGGGCTTTTTTGGGCTGTGGAGTTTTCCTCCAGAAATGGATTCTGTTGTGATTTATTATCTATTGGCAAGACCTGAAACATGGTCCATACCATCATATTTAGGGCCTGACCAGTTTGGTACTGCGAAAGAAGAGACACCCGAGGTCTAGTTGCACTTATTCCCATTTAAAAAATGAAATATTAACTTGACTCTTTTCGTCTGTACGAAGATCTACTTCTTTCTAGTCGGGGTCCTCCGTCATGACAGGTCAAGAGTACTGTGCGTAGTTTTAGGGGGGGCTTCAGGCCTCCTATATGACGTCCACAGCGAGCAGCGGAGGCCGAATGCAAACTGGAGAGAATTCCACCGGCGTGACGGTGACTCGCACCCAGAGAAAGACATGAAACAAACTCACGTCACAAATAACGTTACTGCCAGAGGATGATACTGTACCGTATTCTTCATAAGTAGAACTATTAATAACTATCTGTACGATGGTTAAATGATCATTTATGTCTGTTACAGTGGAGCTTCCAATATAAGGCTGGATGGTTTAACAGTAATGCATCACATTTTAATAGGAATCTAAATCTGCAAATAACAAAGAACATTTCCAAAGCAGTACAATGTATTCCTCTAATGTATAAGTACACAGTAAGCAGTAAAAAGGTGGAGTCACATACTATTAACTCCCCCAGAGACAAGCATCTTGCCCTGGGGTTGAACCTCTGTCGAGCCGTCTCCACTGATGGTGCCGGAGGCAATATTCGGTGTAATGGTGAGACAGCAACAGAGTCCTTCCCAAAGGAAGCTGCCACAAACACGCCTGTGGACCATTAGCTTTTGGTCTAACCGGCGTTATGAGAGCCAGTTCAATCTGCATTAAAAAGACATTTTGTTGTTCTTTCTGTGTTTACAACAGGCTGACTCAACTCGCCCACAAACCAAATGGTCTTCCTTTAGAGGCAATTTGGTCTCTCTGGTAAAAGTCAAACACTCACTTTGTTGTGACCACATCAATGTCAGGTAACGCTGCACATTGACACGACATACGGGGTGTGCATGTGCGCACACACACACACACACACACACACTCACACTGACAAACAGTCATAAACAGCAGCATAGCCCAAACCAGTCTTAACACCAGTTAATTGCTCATGTATGGCTCCTTTCAGTACTCTCGCTCACACACACACTCACACACACACACACACGGCTTGCCGGGCGCCTACAGCTGTGACGTCTAACATGTGGTGCCGTGTTGATATAAGAAGCAACACAAGTGGAAAATTGGTGCTGGTGGGGCCAGACTGCTGACTTCCTGATAGGAAGAGTGGAGGGTTGACCCATATATACATGAAATGGTCAACAGGCTGCTGCACCAAGGGAAATACAGACAAAGGGTCTGTGTGGCTGGATGCCGATCCGGGTTACCCAATGGGATCCTTTTATAGCAACACAGGCCTTCTTACAAAAAAAGGAAAGTAAAAGAAAAAAAATCACAACACATGAATGTCCCATGAAACACGGCTTATTTTCGGAGTTTATTTATCGGCCAAAGATTCAAGGGGAAGTTTGCATAAATCACAAAACAACTTAAATGGGTACTACTGAAAACACTCACAGGCCTGACTGGCCTTCATTCAACAGACATTAAAACAGCAATTTCAGCCGTGCGTAAGCAAACCAGAAAACCAATCATAAATAGACAAACAGGAGCGATACTCTAGAGGACACATGGCTGGATCGAAGCGGTCTACTTTTTAACAAAAAGTCCAAGCGCAGCATTAACCTTGCTGATCCGATCCTCTGGATGATGGGAGGCAAAAGGGGATAATACAACATCAAACTATTGCAAGAGACCGCAGTGGCATGCAAGCCGACGGCTGCTCGGAAAAAAATCTAACAAATAATACTAAGTATGTTGCTTTTGATGCAAAACGTTTCTTCTCTCCAATGCACATCTGGGATGTGTAGTTATCGTATCTTTCTACATGGAGCTTGTTGGGTTCATATTTTTTAAAGGGGAGTTCCATGTGTTGTGACACTCAGCAGTGACTCGTGATGAACAGACTAAAATAATTGAAAATACCACAGAAAAAATCTGCCCGGAGCCATTTAAACTTCATCATATCACTTGGATACAATTGTCACATCTAACACGGGTCGAGCGTGATTGATGCAAAGCGCCGCACAGGAAGCAAAGAAGACAGAACTTTTGTAAACAAAGGGAAGCAATGTGTGTCCTGATTGAATTTTAAAATCCCACAGCAGGGAATGAGTGCAGCGTGCTATCTAGGATCTCAGATAACCTCTGCTTCACCCTCACACGTACCAGCGCTTATCCCATCAGCCACTTTCCACCGGGCGCAATGCACAGCGGGCTGCGATCAAGCGATACCGCGGAATGCAAAACATATTAAAAATACACGTGAAAACAAATCAAACAAATATCTGGCAAATAGCCCCCCCACACACACACGCGTCATATAATTTCTCCTCTCCTCGTGCTTTGCGATTGTTTTAATCAGTTTCCTTCTCTTTCTTCCTCCTCAAGATGTAACGTGGATCTTTAATTGGACCTCAGCCTCTCACTGGCTGCACGGTGCTGCGGGATAGACGCTAAACTGAGTGCGAGTCGCCGGAGACGAACTGGGACATACAGCAGGTCTTAAATGGAGCGACCCGCTGCACTTTGGCCTCCGACTGCTCGCCGCTGATCCGGAAAACGATGCTAACGCTCCGATGTCCCACTCGGAACAGCGCGGAGACGCTTCCAGTCAACGTTACACATCGTGGAAATGAGTTTAAACTTTACATGTCTGGCCGCATCGACCCGCTCACAACACGCGTGCCCGTGAGTAAAATGAATAAACACGCATTAATTAACTTTTGCTGGAACAATAACAAGCGGCTCGGACGGATCCACCCCAGCGCCATAATTGTGTCACACTTTCCCCCGGAGCGCAGAGTTCGCTCGGCGTGCTAGCCCGCTAGCCGCTGAAGCTAGCCGCCGTTTGCTTCGCTCGGAGAACAACGGCGGCGGCGCCGGAGAAGTTGGGAGTGAATAAGCGGGAACCGTCAACTCACCGGGGTCCGCCGGGGTCTTCATCTCCGCGGGCGTCTTCGGCGCGCTGCTTCGGTCACTTTCCCCGTTGACTCGTAACTTTTAGCGTTTAGCCGAGTCGGCTAGCAGAGTTAGCAACGACACCCCACTCCTTCCTCCGGTGTTGTTCTCGCGAGTGGCTCGTTGGAGAACAACCTGCCCCCGGTAAACGTTACTCGGTTTAAAGTTGTAAAAACGGAGGCAGCGAACTTCACAAGCACTTCTGCGTTTTATCTCGAGCCATCGGCGTCTGGTGAAAAAGTTTTGTGCCGGAATATTTTCACGCAGCGTCTGATGCCAAAAAAAGTTGCCCGAGCCTCCGGTGTGTGTGTGTGTGTGTGTGTGTGTGTGTGTGTGTGTGTGTGAGGGGGGGGTTCCAGTCGCCCGGGTCTGAATGGCGCAGGTCGAAGTTTGGAGGAGTCGTGCTGCCGTTGATCGTGCCGGAGTAGCGGAATGCGACGAGTCTAAATGTTCACCCCGTCTGTTGAAACGGTGTCGCGTGGTCGATTCCTCCTCCGCGTCATCATCTTCACCGACGGTCTGAACGGCGGCGCTTCACAAAGGTACTAAAACAAAAAAAAACCGGAGCCGACTCTGTTCTCTCTCTCAGCTCCTCTCTTTCCTCGGCAGACTTTTTCTTTTCCACTGCACTCACTTCGTGTTCTCTCAACCCCCCCTTCTTCTGATGGGTGTCGTGTTTCGCTCTCCTCCTGCCACACGGGGCCGCCCACGCTGACCTACAGAGGGAGCGACGGGGTGAGGAACCGAACGCCCACTTGTTGCCAAAGATCGTATATGAACGGTGAATGTTGATGGTGGCTTTACGTTTCCTTTCTGCCCAACAGCAGAAAAAAACAAGGAGTTGATGGTATGATCGTATGGTAGTATACGTATCAAACAACAAACACACTTGCACCAAAATCAAACTGTATTATAATTGAATCCATAAAAAAACATATCAAATCGTATACGGATTTGTCAAGATCAACTCCCTAAATCCTTGTCTCAGTTTACTAAAGTCATACAGTTTGATATCACATAAGATGATTAATGGATTAGCGAGACAGCTTCTGATTGATCTTAGTTTAAGTTGGATAATCAATTACACTAATGGACTAAACATTCGTGTTGCAATTCGGTTGAAGTTCGAGGTCAAATAAGATCGCTTTTGTATTCGTTTGATTTATTCGGAGTAAGGCATCCTCTAACAGACGATCTTCGATGAGGACCAGTTGCTGCTCTGCTGCCCGGAGTTGCCGCCGCGCTGCCTCCAGTCTATCGCCCCGCTCGCTCCCGGTGCGCGCGTCACACGGCGTTGCTGTGGAGACGCGCTGCAGCCGCGAGTGATGGGAGAGGCAACTTGTTTACCTGTAAACTGCCACAGCGAGGCTGCCAGGGAGCCGCCGCGCACATGCGGGGGGGAGAAAGGAAAGGAGAGGGCCAATCAACAGGTGGTCTGTGTCCCGCCGGAACGGACGGTGGCCGGTGAGACAGACGTTTGCATACACTGTAATTATGAGAGGACCCTGTAGCAATCGGGCCCTGTGGGCTCATCACGCATCTCACACACACACACACACACACACACACTCCTTTCTCTCTCTCTAATGAAGGGGCCCTCAGCACTTGCATCCGCTCTGAAGAGGCAGGAGGGAGAGGATCTGGCCGAGCTGGAGAGGATAGAAGGGAAATGAAGTGGAGGAAAATAAGTGTGGCTTGTAGGCCCTTTCTCCTTCATTCTTACCCAATGACTCATAACACTTTTATTCCCCCCCCCCCACCCCCCCCGCCCTCCTCTGCTCGTTTACTTTGAGTGGCAGTGTGTGGGAGGTGAACGCCAGCCGATGTGTGAAGTGTTTCATGCGATTGTCACATCGACGCACACACGCAGACAAGCAATAACAAAACAACGGGAAAAAATGGACCCTCTTCCTGCTGTCTGTCCTTTGCCTCCTCATCTCCTCCACTTTCTCTCCTCCTTGCCCCCACACACAACCCTCCCACTGCTTGTTCAGTCCTCTGCTCTGCGTGGATCCTTCATCCTCCACAGTTTTTCAACTTCACCTCCTACTTCCCTTTTACCTCACGTCCTCCCCTCCTCACTGCTATGATGCTTTGTTAACACCTTCACCACAACACCTCTGATGAGCAGTCCACAAGTGTGCGTGTGTGTGTTTTGTTTATGGGTGATTCATCTGTTGATTGAAGATTCGAGGAACAGTTTGACATTTTGGGAAATATGCCATTTCTGTTTGTTTTTTGCGTGCCAAGAGTTAGATAAGAAGATTAATGCTGCTCGCCTGTCTGGAAATAATACAGGCCTTCCAACTCACTAATTTAACAAGTTAGATTTCATTTCCCAGTATGTCCCCCTTTTCCAGGCTTTGTGCTAAGCTAAGCTAACCGGCTGCTGGCTCGGGCTTCATGTGGAACAGACCTCTGTCTGGTGTCGAGTGGCTTCTCTCCCAACCCTCTGCCATGATTCCAATGAACACGTTTCCTAAAATGTCAAACTTCTTTGTCGGACAAAGGTCCAATTATATGTTTGGTGTCAAAATAAGAGTACAAGCAAATATTCACGTATGAGAGGTGGAATGTTAAATAAAAAAGGCACAGACACACTGTTGCAGTAATTATAGTACACGTAAATAACAGAATTATAATGGCTGAATTCCATTTAGCTGCTTCGGCTCAGGAGATAACGGGCCACGTGAACAACTCCCTGTTTCCGCGATATTACAAAATTGAAAATGTGTGTTGTCCCCTCTCTCCTCTCTGCGGTGCCGCTGACCTTTTGCTCCACCCGAGGACACGTCGGGACAAACACCTGGAGGAAGTGAGGTGTGAACGACCCGCTCGAGTCTGCTGTGCCGCTCAGCGCGTTGACATCAGCCGGTTTCATCTCCACCAAGAGGAAGATTCAGCCGTTAGAGAGATTGTACATACGTGTAGTTGTGTAGGTGAGGAGACGTCGCCCAGAATCATATATGAATCAAAACACGTCTTCACACCAGACCTGCATTTAAAATATATATATATATATATATTTATTATTTGTTTGTTTGTTTTTTTACAGCAAAGAAAATCATTTCTATAAAAAAATACGTATAATAAAAAATGCAATCAAAATGAATACTGGAGAACTGTACGTGTATATGTCCTAATCAAAAGGATATATAAGTAAAAAAATACACAAATAATGAAAACAACCATACAACATACCAACAACATTGTCAGTCCTTCGAATCGATTGTAAATTCAGTGCAACAAACTTACATAATATTACATAACATGGGTTCCACACACAGCGTTTCCTTCAACTTGAAAACATGGGGAAGTATCCTGGTTGAAGAGAGATAATGATCATGTACAGCAAACTAAAGCCTCCACGGCACACTGGAGGGGCTGAAGGCAGATCTTCCAGACTGGTTTAAATGCATAAATCACACTTAAAAGATTAATAAAGCATGAACAACTAGAAGAATAGCTACAAATGATATAGGTAGATAATAAGGACAATCATTGTCTGCCTCCTTTAATGAGTATTTCAGTTTGTGTTCGTTTGGATTTGTCTGAAGACGTTTGTCCAAAGAGACACCGTGTCCACTGCCTTTTTATGTGGTTCAAGAAATCTGAAAAAGTAATAGAAAGACAACGGAACACAGATTTAGAAATGAAAAGTGTGATGATAGTGGGAATAACTTCCCTTTCAGTCCCAATCTTTCTTGGCAAATTCCCTCTTTCACAACACGGCGACTTGAAGCCGTGTCCTCGCTGACCCGTGTTGGAAGTGAGAATCATACTTTGTTGATGCAGCAGGAGGCTGGCGGAGCAGGCGGTGACGCAGACACCCGGCCGCATGCGAAAGCCACGGCAACAAAGGCTCCGCGGGGCGGCTGAGGGCCGCATACGTGTGAGCCGGCGGGGTGATCTGGACTAACGGATCACCAGAGTGGCCTCGGGTTCACGACTGAGGTGCTAATGCCCCTCATCAGCAAACAGCAAGCCAACATCACATCCTGGCTGATTGCTGCATGATGAGATTGAGAAGAGGTGAAGGAGTTAATGAATGGGGACATTCTTAAAGACGTGTGATCAGTGACTCATTTTGGTTTCAGTCTTGGATCAATACATAAGCCAATCAGTAAGCTTTCTGACACTGTTCCACTATTGTTATTATGTATTGGCTTATTTATCCAAACTAAGCTTTACATTAAACTGTCAACGATTCATAGATTTTTTACAAAAGTGTTTGTAAATTAGATTTACAATCAGTACCAAAAACAAAGGGATGTGCGTTTTAACAGAGGTTGAGTGGATTATAACATTTCATAACCATAAAAACACAACGCCAACTACGACCCGCTGCTTTGAGTGTGTTTTTCTACCGTGGGGAAGTAAAGCCTGATTCCGCCTGTTGATCCTCACCTTGTGATTTTTAAAAATACACTGAAATGTCATTTTTCTTTGTTTTTTTAGGGGGATTCGGGCACATTCTTTGTTTTTTCTTCCTCTACAGGTCAAGTGTTTTCTGTCCCCGGAAATCTGCCGTGTTTTTAAAATGGTAAAACGGCCCAACGAGGGAGGAGGGAGGGCCGGGAGGACGGGGGGGGGGGCAGAGGCACTCACTGTTGTAAATAAAACGGTGATGGGAGAGGCCCATCACACCAGCCCATCTGTATGCATAAGAAAACACTCTCACAGCTTAGTCAACAGGCGCTCGTGAGTTCCTGACAGCAGAACGCGCCGCAGCGGCCAGAGGGGAAAGTTCTCGCTGGCGTCCGAGTGATGAAGACATTTTCCATGTTGTGTTCCTCGGCTCTGAACCGTGAGCTTATGTTGGGGGAATAAGGAGGCCCTTGTGTGTGTGTTCCTGTCTGCCTGCTGCCTGGTCAGATGATGTCTGCCTGTCTGTCTCGCTGCTGCTCCCGTCTTACACGGGAAGCAGCAGTCCTCTGAAGACAGGGAAGAGACACGTGTGAGAGGTTTTTTGAAAGAAGGAAAAGGACCAGGAGATCAGGAGAGGAGAGCAGGGGAGATTCTGCAGAGGATCAGTAGAGGGGGGAGGGGAGGGGAGGGAAGAAAGAGAGTGGGTGAGGGAGAGAGTGAATGGGCCCTTTGTGATCAAAAGGCTTGTTTATTTTCTTGGCGCTTGAACTCCTCAGGAGCCACATTGGGCCTGTCTGCACTGTCTAGCTCGGGTCCTCGTCGCCCTCCCTCACATCCCAACGAGGAGGCCCCAATCTCCAAGAGGAGCCGGGTCACTTCAGAACCAACACACAGCTCTAAACATGCGCAATTTAAAGCGGGTTGTAACTGGTACGCTGGTACGCTGACCTCCTGGCCGCGTGGACGTAGTCAGGATGAGCAAAACCAGAGATCCTCACTGAACTCAAGTAAAAATAAATAGGACTTGGGTCGTCCTCTGGAGCGTGAAAACCCTCTCTCTTCATCTCTCTCCTCATCTCTCTCCTCATCTCATCTCTCTCTTCATCTCTCTCCTCATCTCTCTCCTCATCTCATCCTATCTCTTCATCTCTCTCCTCATCTCTCTCCTCATCTCATCTCTCTCTTCATCTCTCTCCTCATCTCTCTCTTCATCTCTCTCTTCATCTCTCCTCATCTCCTCATCTCTCTCTTTATTTTTCTCTTTATCTCTCTCCTCATCTCTCCTCATCTCTCTCCCCAGCTATTCGCACACGTGTGATGGGATTAACTGTGCCGGCAGGAGAGAGACAGAGAGGG